AAAAAAAAGAATCTGCCCGCCAATGCAGGGGACACGGGTTCGAGCCCTGGTCCGGGCTGATCCCACATGCCGCGGAGCAACTAAGCCCATGCGCCACAACTACTGAGCCTGCGTTCTAGGGCCCATGTGCCACAGCTGCTGAGCCCACGTGCCACGGCTGCTGAAGCCCGCAGCCTAGAGCCTGTGCTCCGCAACAAGATAAGCCACCGCAATGAGAAGCCCGCGCACCGCAACAAAGCGTAGCCCCCGCTCGCCGCAACTAGAGAAAGCCCACACGCAGCAACGCAGACCCAGTGCAGCCAAAAATAAATAAGTACATTTTTTAAAATAAAATAAATAAATAAGACTGGGGCGGTCACACACAGGAGATGTCCTCTGCCGGCAGCACCCCAGCAGCCCAGCACGGGGGCTTGTGCTAGCTGCTGCTGTCACTGGCAGAACAGCCGTTTCCTTGGTTCTTGTCCTCTCAAGGGAAAGAATTCAGACGAGAGACATAGAGCAGTTTTAAGTAGCAAGAGTTTTGTTAAACAAAGCAAAAGTATGCTCCTGAGAAAGGACAAGAGCGGGCTGTCTGGAAACCGGAAGCAGTCCCACAGTGGGGGTAGGGTTGGATTTTTTAGAGTAGTGGTCCCTCCCTCTGTCCTGCGTCATCTGACTGACAAGTTGATTGACAGCTTTAGGTTATATTACGTCTCCCTTAGTGCGCAGGTGCTTACCCATAAGCACCGAAGTGAAACACGGGGGTGGGGGTGGGGGAGGAACAAAAACTGCAATGCTAATTTATTATAATTACAGCATAACGAACCCCGCCCTGTTACTCTGAATCACCTTTTGGGTCTTGGTGCGCCTGCGCCAACCTGTTCTGGCAGTTTTATCTTGCTTGGTCCTGATAAGGCTGGAAACTTAGCAGTGGTCCTTGACCACAAGAGGGAGGACCTCTGGGCATGTTCTGATCACCAGTGTCCAGATAGGGGGAGGGAAAGGTGATCCCCATCCAGGACGGGGCAGGGACCTGCTCGTGTCTGACTAACTACCTAACACTGCCACCAGAGAACTTCGGAGAGCTGTATGAAACATTTCATTCTAGGAATGACGCCATGTTCTTGGACTTATCTGTGACCATAAATCTTTAGCCCTTATCTGTGAAAGAATATCCAATGGCTTAAAAAGCACCTGCTGTCATTTATTTCCCATAGAATTTTCAGTAGAGTATCGTTCAGAGATCTACAATTTTATTCATGTTTTGCATGAAGATACCAGACGCATGTTAGACTCAAAGCTAAAGAGAGCAGATCGTCAATACGGCACTCAATTGACTTGACCTTCAGTAGCCTTACAGCAGTGGACACACCCACACCAAACTGATGAGAGTCAGTTATCGCGAGTCATTGTAAAAGCCTGCCATTAAGTTCAGCTAATCAGTTCCTCAAGAGCATGATGAGGAAGACCTGGCTCGGCAGGGATTCAGGGCAAAAGGTCGAGTGGGAATGAGTTTAGTGTGAGCCAATAGAATAACACAGAGAGATCAACGTCTACTGATCTGTAGCTCTCAACATTGGCTGCTCATTAAAATCACCTAGAACCTCTTAAAAAAAAAAAAGATCTTGATAACCAGGCAGAGCCCCAGACGGTTGGATCAGAATCTCTTGAGAGGTAGGCCCTAAGCATCAATAGTTCCTAAAGCTTCCCAGGTGATTATTCCAACGTGCAGCCAAGGTCAGGAACCTCTTCCATAGACTCTGCCTCATTAGAAGGAGACAAGAGTATGGGAAAGGATTGCCCCTTGAAACTTGAAGGCTCTGAGCTCCGTCAGAACACCGTACCCAATTCTGAGTTTCACGTTTGAAATGGGATAATAGTAGAATGCATTTCATTTTTTAAAACTTGTTGGAAGTATGGGCATTTGGCCTAACAGGGAGGAGATTCTGGAAAATAGGATGGCCCTTTCCAGGCTGGCTGTATGAAAGAGGGGCGTCGGCATCATCTTAATTGTACCAGAGGACAAAGTTTAAACAAAGGAGTGAATTTCCAAAGAAGCGCCTTGTGTCCGAGTATAGAAAAAGGTTTCCTCACAGTAAGGGCAGCTTGGCGACCTCATAGGCTGCCCTATGAGGTAATGAGCTCCTCTGCCTCGGGGTTTCTTGAGCTGGGGTTGCCCATTTCCAGAATGTACTTATCTATTGGGCGAAACCCCAAACCTGGCAGGGCATCAGGGTCACCTGGGGTTGATGGGCCATGGAAGTTTTGAAAAAATATAGACTGCCAGGCCCCACCTGGCCCTCCTTAATTAGAACATTGGGGTCAGACCCAGAAATCTGCATTTTAAATTGCTTCTTGAGATGACCGTGATGAATGACTTTTCTGAAACAACTGATGTAGACTGCCTGTGACACACCAAAGATTCTCTGATTCCTTGGTTTGCATTTGGCATATAACTCTGGTTTCTTCTATAAACAATGACTGAATGAGTGAATGAATGAGTGCATGGGTGAGCCAGGTGGGTGGGTGGGGGAGTGAGCTGGTGAGTGTCAGGCTTCGCCCGCTGGGCACTTGCGGTCTCAGAGGAGGGGGCAGGCTCGTGGGACAAGGAAGGGCAGGCCCTCTCGTGGATGAGTGGGCCATGTCCAGTGTGGGCAGAGGGCGTCACTGGCCACTTCTGTCTTGGAGGACACGTGGGCCATTAATGCCCACACAGAAGAGACAAAGCCATGAGCAGGTACGTTCAATGAGAAGAATGGATCACGTGGAGTTTATTAAGAAAGGAGATTTTTCCG